GAAGGTGCCTGTGCGACCCACCCCGGCACTGCCAAAAGGGGGCACAGTGAGCGGGAGGCCCGTAACAAGCAGTGACAGTAACCCCAGCTAGCCCCCCACCCCGGCACTGCCAAAAGGGGGCACAGTGAGCGGGAGGCCCGTAACAAGCAGTGACAGTAACCCCAGCTAGCCCCCCACCCCGGCACTGCCAAAAGGGGGCACAGTGAGCGGGAGGCCCGTAACAAGCAGTGACAGTAACCCCAGCTGGCCCCCCACCCCGGCACTGCCAAAAGGGGGCACAGTGAGCGGGAGGCCCGTAACAAGCAGTGACAGTAACCCCAGCTAGCCCCCCACCCCAGCACTGCCAGAAGGGTGCGCAGTGAGCGGGAGGCCTGTAACAAGCAGTGACAGTAACTACACTATCGGACTGGTGTCATGTTTGGTAAGCTGTCGCACTTTTCTGTGCATGCACCTCTAGTGGATTAGCTGTTTATCCAACCACATTTCAGTTTACTTTTACAGTGGTTAAGTTTAAAATTAGGATTACCCACTGAGACTATCCAAAGAAACTGTATGGTAATTAGATTGTGTTGGAATGAAATCTACATTCTCTACTGAGCTACAGCTATTTATAGAGGGCTACATATTCAAAGACAACTGGGGTAACTGCTAATGCTAACATTAGCCTTCAGTAAATCCAGGGACCAGTCTGACTTCCCAGCAGGAGCCGGTCCCGGCAATGCTATTACAGTCTCGGGATATAGGCTGGAAGTCCCGCACCGGCCAGGCTTGGGGCTGCCGTTCCCTCCCCCTGGACTATGTAGGTGCCCCCTACCTGCAGTGCACCACTGTAGCACCGGAGCCTGGCGTCCTGTTGATGTAATCACGGACGGTCCTGGCAAACTGGATGAGCGACTGTGTGGTCTCGGGGACGCCGTGGTCGGGCCAGACAGTGAAGTGGAAGTGCCGCACCCCTCGGGAATAGTCCGGCTGCTCCTCCTGCAGTCCGGTCATCAAAGATGTACATCAGGACCAAACGCAGGACTGTGTTAATCGTAAGCCTCTGTGGTGTACAGTGCTACAGCTCAATTGTGTGACCTCCCCCCAGGGGCGGAGCTACTGCAGTGATGGTTACTGCGTCCTGCAAGGGACCCCTGAGCTGCTTCACTTACGCTGAAGATCTGGAATTCCCGGATGGTCCATTCTGACAGAACCGATTCAGATTGCATCTGGACCACGAGGTCTCCGTAGTACAGGGGGTCCTGATCAAAGGGCCAGTAGTGATCACACTTCACCTACGGGGGGGCGAAAGTCACATGGGCACACAGTCAGGCTGGGCCCGGCCCTTGTTCTCCTTTCCTATAGAAACGGGCAGTGCCCCACCCCCTTACCCTGCCCTTCTCTATGCACTGTGTCACCATGACGACATTGTGCACGTTCTGCTCCCACACCATCTTCCAGACGTCGTCCTTGGTTCCGGGCAGTGGCCCTTGAGTGGCGATGTACTCCCGCCGGAAGTTGTTTCCCTGAAGGATGCAGTGCAGAACTGATGGCGGTACCTTTACCACTGCGTTCACCATAGGCTCCCTCTCCACTATCCTGTTACAGCGGCTTTGAACAACGTGCTACTTGATGTTTATGGCAAAAATTGCTGCCTTTGCATTTAGCCCACAAATGAAAAAAAGTCAGAGCAGGGGGCCGGTGACGAATCCCCGTGGCGTATCGAGTGACCTGTTCATTAGGCAGGGAGCCATGGAGGATGTCTGCTAACGAACATCGTTAGAGGGACCACGACCGCCCTGGCACCTGGTCCAATTAGCAGAGATGTGGCACCGTGGGAGTCTGCTATGTGACAAGGGGAACCAGTCACAGCCAGTCCATCTGGGTCAGCTTCCACCTTCCTGCTGATGTGAAATCACGGATCCTACTGCACGTGGGACCTGGTCGACATGCGGAGAAACTGCAAGGTAATGACAGACTCACTGGGATGTAGCTGGCGTTGATGTAATCAGAGGAGGGGTCATCATCAACACAGGACAGCTTTACTCTCGTCGAGTCATCTAGAGGTGGGCAGAGGTCACAGGTCATAGCTTGGTCACATGATTCTAAACTCCTGGCTGGTTTTAAATCTCTCTGGGAAGCTTATAGTCTGGTGTTACCTATAAATTTTGTGACATCACAACATTTAAACTCAGTACACCCTAATTTGGTTCCATATGCTACATCTCCCAAATTCCCAGATCGTTCATGAGGCACATGCTGACCGCACACTTACAGGGCAGTATGTTGTTGTAGCGGTTCTTGCCCCTGTTGTCTGGCAGGAGCGCAGTGTCGACTAGCTGGTTCCGGCCAACTTCTTTCAAGTCCTGTCAAGATATACGAGTGGGGGGGTGGGTGTCAGGAGAGGTGATCCTCAATCTCATTCCCCCAGGCCACCAGGGGGCGTAGATCATCTAAGGGGTTGTTCACATACCTCAAACTCCTCTGAGAGCAGGTAGTTTGAGTCAGCCTGAAGTTTGATGAAGTGCGACTCGAAGGACTCGATTTTAATGGGGCTGAGGAAAAGAAAAGAAGCAAATGAAAATTTAAAAAGATATGAAACAAAATGGGAATCTGTCATTTAAACTGGAGAAGCCACATACCTTGATATCTGATGATTGCTGAACATAGAGGACAGAAAATCTGTGATTAGTTGACATTTAAAAAGTTAATTCATTTCAGGTTTTTTTTTTTTTTTTTGTATTTTTCTATCAGTGTGAAAGACCTAGACCATTAAAAAGACAATAGCAAGTATTACTGATCCGTAAAATCAACCTCAAAGACAATGGCAATTAAACTGGTCAGGATAACGAGTCTTTTTTGAGCTGTAGGCAGGCTGCCTCAGACTGGCAACCCTTTCATTCAGCCGGACGGTGAGGGGTATGATGTCGCTCGCGTGTCACAGCGATCAGCTGACGCGTTTTAGCGGCTGTGATGTCATGTGAAGCTTTGTACTGAATCTCCATGGCAGTTAAACTGGAAGGCCTGGGAATGATGGTCCAACTGGACCTTTCAGTGAAATATAGCCACTGTACAAATTACCCAAGGTTCCTCCCGAACAGAGAATCTGTCCACATCTCTGTAGATTTAATACCTCATCATCTGAAATGATTTTCCATGAAGGACCAAGATAGATGCAACAGCACAACATATTTTCCCACTGTTTGAATGATGCAGGACCAAGCAAGCAAACAAGCACCCTGTGCCCTTACCCCCTGATGCCCACATGCATCCCAGAAGTGGTCCTCTCCCGCCGGATGCTCATTCTCAATGCTGCCCCCTGCTGGTGGCCCCTGCAATCACAACCAGTCACTTCACACATAGCCAAGATTCCTCTTTTGCTTCAATTTTTCCTTAAAATAATGAGCGAAATATAACCAAAATAATGAGTGAAGGGTGATTTTACATTTATGTGGTTTGAAGCAGAATAGATCCATATTCATTAAAGAAAACACTGTTCGGTACTGTTCAAAAGGGACTTAAGTCCCTGTGGATTTGCACTAGAGCGTCATGGAAAGGCAAGGAGACGGCCAACCTCAGCATCCATTCTACCCACATTAGTTATACTGCCAGCTAACATAATGGTAGTGATGACCAGATGAAGCTTCATGAACCATTTGCTGTATTTTTGACCCCACTAGACCGTGCTCTTGGTTTGCTCTGAGGCATGTTTCAAGTACTTTTTTGAACAAAGGGCACCATCTAGTGGGGTCAGAAAATACAGAAAATGGTTCATAAAGCTTCATCTGGCCACCACTACAGAATGGCTGAGATGGTCAGCATCTCCACTTCACAATGGCAGAGATGGTCAGCATCTCCACTTCACAATGGCAGAGATGGTCAGCATCTCCACTTCACAATGGCTGAGATGGTCAGCATCTCCACTTCACAATGGCAGAGATGGTCAGCATCTCCACTTCACAATGGCTGAGATGGTCAGTAGAACCGAAGGGCCCCTATCGCAGAGGAAGCTGTACTCACACTTTGTGAATCTTCCGCCTGCAGATGAGTAGCACGGAAACCCCGATCACCATGGCGATGAGGAAGAGCCCGGCGCCAATCCCCTCGATGACTCCGCTGAGGGGCTCTGTGTGGGCAAAGACACGGCGCTCACCGAAACGGCGGAGGACAGCCTCTCCCACGGTACCTGCCAGTTCAAACCCCTCTGCGTTTCATGTCACACAGAGCTTTAAGAAAGACGACTGTAACAGGACTCACCCGCTTCTGTCACCAAGGGGAGGGACAGGAATGTGTCTGTGTAAAGTGGATGGGGAAACGCTCTCTGATCCTCGTCAAACAGCTGGGTGAAAGCGCGTACACTGAGCCTGAAGAGGAAGACAAGAAAGTCTGTGTGAACTGTCAGCATCACTATTTATTACATACATACATTTCACAGAGTGTCAGCATTTCCTATAGCCACCATTCTATTCATGCTGCCCCTCATTGCCACCCAATCAGAAGTAACATCAGGCCCCCAGAGGCAATCCTACAGGGTAGAGTCATGTAGATGAGATCCAGTTACCTGTAGGCAGTTTTGGGCTTCAGTGGTCCATCACAGAAGGCGTTCTGGTCCTGGTCCTTCTTGCACCTCCCGCCAAGGGTGTCCATGCCAGTTCCCAGGTGGATCTCGAAACCCGGGGAGCCGCTGTCCAGGCTCTCGGTGCATTGGCTTGGGAAGTAGCTGGTCTGGTACACCTGGATGGAGCTGTTGGACCTATAGTCCTTGTAGGAGGCCAGGGGGTGTTGCTGCTGTGGCTGAATGTCTTCACGGTCTGGGGTCACAGAGGAAGTAAACCCTGACAGTCACTGAAGTGGACCACAGATAACTTCATAAATCAGTCAACAGATTTCACCACGGGGATCGTTCCCATGCAGGGCTGCTGTGAGCAGGCTGCCTTACCAAGCGCCACTGAGATTGTGGCTCAGTCATCAATCTTTAAATATATTTGATCACATTAAATCACCTTCACATGGGATATTCACTGCAACACCAATTCCCCCTTACGAACGACAGTCATTCATATTCCTGTAAAAGCCTCAAACGGAACATACCGGAAGACTCTGCCACCACGATGGTGAAGAACTTGACGGCCCCATTGACATCACTGAACCAGCTGCAGTTGAACTTGAAGAGGATACTTGACTTTGTAATCTGGACCGCCTGCTCACTGACCCGAGTGCTGAGGGGTGGGAGGGGCGGCCCTGGAACGGGCAAAGGCACAGGACAATGACTATGCCAATCAAGCTGAACCACCAATCAGCAGTCTGTTGTGGAATTTGAGGCATTTCATTTGCACGATTTCTCCCAAGACGACACAGACTTACGTATACAGGACAGTTTCTCTCGCCCTTTCGATTGTATACTATAATACTACTGCATCTGTTTTTAAAACGATCATATGTATTTTACCTCCATACATATGTGACATTTTATCTATTTTTTAATTTCTGTACTGCAGTCTGGTGACATTTGTTTATGACTGAGCTGGGTATCGATTTGTTCCCGTAAGTATGGTTACTGTAAATGGCACAGACATATCGCGGGGAAGGTCAGCTGTCTGTTAACATCTCTATTCAGCCTGACTGCTCTGGAAAACACCAGGATCCTTCTGAATCCAGTCTTTCTCATAATCATCTGCTATTCCCTACCAGCAGGGGGTGACACACATCTAATGAAAAGCTTAACGAATTATACAGATGCATATGAAAGGCTTTCTTAAAGGGCACACGGCGTCCAGCCAGCACACGATGCAAAAGGTGAAGTCACTGTGCATCAGAGGCTGTGCTGAGCTTATAAGCCCATCTGCTGCCTACTGTGAACCCTAGTCAGGTTGGTGTCTTTCTTTACGCACCTCTGGTCACATGACCAGATAGGACCAATCCCACCCTCCTTGAGGCAACTGGTTTTTTTTTACACGCTATGCACCACATGTGACTCGGAGGTACTGCTTACCCACAGGGGATGCCCTAAATGCCCCCTCTGTGAACCACACTGCCCCCCTCAGGTCTGAGACTTCCTGGCAAAATTAATCAAGAGGTGATGGGTAGACTGGATATAGTTTAACCCCCCCCAACTCACCACCACCCATAACGAGTGTTTCAGAGAACAGGTAGCATAGATGAGGGCAGGTGCTGTTTTATGGGTGTTACTTTGCCCTAAATTGCCCAAAATGGGAAGATTGCACCATTAAAACTTATTTCAATCTGCTTTTTTTTTGTTCTCCTCCTGTGGCCCAGAGATAAATCACCCAGACAGAACTGGAACTGGGAGCGGAACAGCTTGGGGTCGAATCGCGGCTGATCCGAGTGCTAAACCCGCCACTGCAGACGGGCACCCAGGCCCCGGGTGAGACTCTTAGGCTCTGGAGATGGCAAATCAATCACTGCCTCGGAAATATCTATTAGCTACGGATGAAAGCCGTAGTGAGCGGGGTGAATGTAGGTCTGTGTTGTTTATGGCGGTCACGCTCCGTAAAAGTCTTTTCCACCCTCATAAATCTGTCCTCGTGCTTATAAGAAGAGGCTTTTGTAAACCCTCAAGGATGTGACACAACAATAGTGTGGGCTGTGGCTCGTGCCACATCCCGTACCCTCGTCTGCAACAGAGGCATTAACTATGAGCGGTATGGTGTCGATGGTGAGTTCAGGTCACTCACGGTCGATCATGGTGAGCACCCCGTCCTCAGCCGCCTCACTGGTCATGCTGTCGGAGATGACCTTGATGGAGATGGTGTAGCGCTTGTGAGGCTCCAGCTGCACGATGCGGTACTGCGTGTCGCCGCGGCCCGTGCGTCGTGAGTACACCAGCCTGCGCGAGTCTTGCTGCATGCACTCCACCGTGTAGGAGTCATAGTCCGACTCTGGGGGGTTCCAGGAGCATAAGATGGACGTCGAGCTCTGTGGCCGGCAGTGGATGTGCTGGATGCCGTCAGGCTCTGGGGAGGAAATTAGCTGCATTTCAATCATGGCCGACAGGGCGGGGCTAAAGAACAGAAGTCATCTATACTTCATCACTATTGGAGTTAAGGTCCATAACAAGGACCAATCAGGAAGCCACAAGTGCTTGCACTTGACGAGTATGTGGCTGCTGAATGTTTTTGAGCTGATGTTTCCAAGGAAAACAATCAGAGAAAGTAGCCCAGGTGAGGGGGTCAAGCCTCCATGATGGAGGTCTTCCTTCTCCCCCCGTTCCATGGTCTTATACTGAGGCTCAGCATTCATCACAAGGATTTTTCCTCTGATCCAAAGCTGGACTTGGTTCATGTTACCCACAAAATGAGACTCGACGTTTAACTGGACAGCTCACCAGCTGCCAATGAAAACCCTGCTCATGCCAGGGCGATTCATCAACAGGCTGTGAAGCGCTGGCAGGAGCCCAGGGCGAAACCATGGGATGGTGCCGGGGTTGCAAATGGCCCGTTTTGGAGTGTCTGTAAGTGACAGTCTGATGCTAACAAGCAGCTTCAGGCTCTCAATTTCTAGCTGTAAAATTTCACATTTAAAAATGAATGAGGCACTTAAAGCTTGTGCATACATGCATCCATGGAGAGCACAAGCTTAGGGCGTACTCACACTTGGCCCGGTTGCCTAGTACCGTGCCCGAGCGCGACGGTCCCCCTCCCCACTCCCTTGCTGGTCGGCTCTCACATTCCACTTAATGTTCTGGGCCATCTACGACTTCCGCTTAATGTTCTGAGAAGTCTATGACTTCTTGTGTTAAAGGAAAGCATTATTGCACATCATGGTGGAGTTCTAGATTAATGTCCTTATTTTGTGGCTTATTTGGAGTCATTTTGGGTGCGAGGCTCTTATAGACTTATCGAGAATGCAACACAGCAATTTTCATTTATTTGTACTGCACATATAAGAAGAACCTCGTATTTAACCAAATATCTCAGAGTTTTTGTGTGCTGCATCCAGTTATTCCTGGATACTCTCATCAGCCCAAATATCCAGCAAACACTGCACCTTTGCTATTAACCAAAATGTTTCCTTACCGCCATGTTTGTTAAATGTTTGCTGCTGCCTGACCTGCACGCATGTTTTTTTTCTCACAACGCAGTTTTGCAAAAAAATATCACAGTCCGTACGGCATACCCGATCCGTACCTTCCGGGTCGTGTTCGTGTATGACGCGGTTTAGTGCACCGTGCCTAGGCATGATTGGGCGTGGTTACACTAGTCAAACGAACTGGACTTTGGGCGTCACATGTGCTCAGGCATGGTACGGATCAGCTAGCCTGAGTACATCTTTGGAAAGAAGCAGCTTCACAGTTCAGCCTTAACTATTAGAATAAGACATAAGAACATAAAAACATAAGAAATTTACAAACGAGAGGAGGCCATTCGGCCCATCAAGCTTGTTTGGGGAGAACTTAACTAATAGCTGATCTATTCGAATTAGACTATTACTTATTAGAACAGAGACACTAGCATTGAGTGAATCAGCTGGGTAACACCACTCCACGTGCAGGTCATGCTTGCTACTCCTCTGGCTCTCTGCTCCCCTCTAGTGGCCGCTGGTTGAACTGCCTGCTAACGTTTCTCCTTTTGTCATTTCTGGTGTGAATGGCCATTTAAGCCGACTGATCTGCAGTTACCCAAATCCGTAGGTCTTGGTGATATTACAGTCAAGTCCCTCTATTAGTAATCGCTCATTGTATTAGAATAGGGCAAATGGGCGGGGCTTTACATTGTCCATGAACCACTCACTTGTTCTGATGCTGCCATGGATGGGCTGGCTGTAAGCAGTGGCTCCGCCCCTGGCCCCACCCCCGGCGATGGTGCGGATGGTGAAGGTGTAGAGACGGCCAGGGTACAGCCCCTTCAGGACACGGGTGGTGCGGTAGGGGTTGAACATGGACAAGGGGTCTTGGGGCGTCCACTGCACATCAAAATCATCATAGTCCGTAGCTATGGGGGCACCCCAGGTGATCTCCACAGAGGTGTTGGTGACCCCCCCGAAGGTTACCGAGGTTGGGCTCTCAGGGGCTGTTTGCATGGGGGTGGGGGTTATTTCACTCAAAGGCCAAACTGTCTGCAGATAACTATTTAGCCTAAGAAAAACCGTAAACTACAATCTGAAAGTCCAAGGGGACATCTGCAGACATATGACAGCAAAAGCTTTTGATAAATTACATCAATATCCATGGGAGACAAGCTTACATTTTACAAATTAAGCGATTACATGAAGCGATTTAATTCAGCAGTTGGAGGGTGACTGACCGGTCCTCCCTCTCGTGGTGGCGCTGTTGCTTAGATCCCCGCTGAGGGTGACCACCATGGCTGAATAGAGCCGCCCGGCGACCAGGCCATGGAAGAGGTGCTCGCCGGCATCAGGCCCCAGGCTCTGCTCGGCATGCTGGGAGCCATTGGGGTTGTAGAGATGCACTGAGTAGCCCCTGAGGTCCCCAGCCGCTCGCTCCCAACTGAACCACAAGCTGCTGGTTTGGTTCCGGTTCTGGACCTGCAGGCCTGTCACTGGGGCAGGGACTGGGGTGGGGGATCAACCGTCACTGTTGTTATTGAAACATGACTGGTTAGTGCAGTTCTTTTCCAGTTGTGATAATGTATTTTTGGACACTGCAACATGCAGCTTTACCTATCAAGCCAATCTTCATCCAAACTAACTAGTCAAGCCCGCTTCAAACCTAAGTAGTCAAGCCTTGTTCGGCCAACCAAGCCAGTCAAGTCTTCCTCATGAAGCCTAACTGATCAAGTCTTGGTCAGTCCATCTAACCAGACAAGCCTTCTTCATTAAACCCAACCAGTAAAGCCTTGTTCAACTAAACTAACCAGTCAAGTCTTGTTCACTCAACCTACCTAGTCAAGTTCTCTTCATCCAGCCTGACCAATCAGGCCTTGTTCGGCTAACCTAAACAGACAAGACCCCCCCCCTTCATAAAACCTAACTGGTGAGGCCTTGTTCAAGCAACCTAACCAGTCTAAGAACCTAACCAGTCCTCTTCATCAAATACTACAAATGAAGGAGCCACACAGTTGAAATGAGCAAAGGTTCAGAGGCACACTCACCTGTCCTGGCCCACAGGGAGGAGTCGTTGGTCTGCTGTCCGCTGCGTGTGAGGACCACCACCTTGTACAGGGTGCCTGGAAGGAGCCCCTTGAAGGAGCAGCCGCGGGCATCTCCCTTGCCATCCTTCTGGCCACGCAGTGTCTCGTCCTGGTTGTACAGGTAGATCTCATACCCATCAAACTCGCCCTCAGGAGGGAGCCAGCTGAAGGCCAGGCTGCTCGTGCCGTTGGCCTTGACGTTCAGCTCGCTGACCGCAGCAGGACCTGGGGCAAGTAGGCAAATGTGGGTCAGGCCGGGAGAGCCCCCCAGTGAGATGGCCCCCAAATACGGCAGTGAAAAAATGGGCATTACGTGTCTGTCCTTCAGCATCAGCGGCCTCACTGAGCACTCCCCCGCTCAGCGTCTGCACACGCACGCGGTACTTCTTCCCTGGGGCGAGCCGCTCAAAGTGGCGTTCCGTGGTACTGGCAGCCTCAGAGGCGTTGGCCACCAGGACGCCCCTCTCATCTAGGAGCTGCAGGTTGTAGCTGTCAGCCACTCCCCAGGCTGGACCCCAGCTGGACACCAGGCTGCAGATGCTGTGCCTGTTTTCTACTTGCAGGTTGGTCACCATGGCAGGCACTGAGAGCACAGGGAACACCTTTCATTAATTACATCTTTATTATTTTACTGCTTAGTTTACACTTTATATTCAGAAGACTTTATTTTAGGATAGCAGTGAGGGGGGGGGGGTTAAGATCCTAGGATTTGAAGCTACAACCTTCCAGTCCCAGACACAGTACCCTAACCTGAGTCACACATTTGTGCTGAGTCACACATTTGTGCTGAGTCACACATCTCCCCCAAGTTCCTGCTGATTATTTTCTCCTGGCCACAGCAGCAAATTGTCTCCTGATCCTGAAATTTACTCCACAAACCCCTCCAGACGTTTCAGTTGTCAAAAACCCCCAAACTCGTGACTCAGACTCACCGGTCCGCCCGCTAGCCGTGCTGTTGTTAACCAGCACGCCGCTGATGGACTGGATGGTGATGGAGTACTTCTGGCCTGGCGTCAGGTCCAGGAAGCTCAGCTCGTTGATGTTTTCGGGCACAGGCCGCATCTCCAGCAGCTGGTCGCCCTCAAATAGCGACACGGAGTAGCCGTCCACGTCCCCCTGGCCAGGCGTCCAGCTGACCTTCAGGCCACTGCTCTGCCCATTGTGGTTGATGTGGATGTTCTTCACCTTGCTGGGCACTGAGGAGTGAATGTGAAGATAAAGACAAACTCTTAGCTTGAAGGTTGGGGGTTCGCTTCTGGTTCCTCTGTGTAGAGTTCCTAAGGTGCCTTTCTGAGTGGGGCCCAGAACCAACAAACCTGCCCCAACACATTCTCCTCATGTTCTCCTCATGATCATGCAGTTTACGTGAAGTGGTGTCTCTACACTCTCCATAGTGTTGGTGAGTGTGTGTCCATCCTGCCCACTGCCTCGTTCCTGAGCTTCCTGACACAGGCTCCAGGACTTCATAAGCACTTCTGAAGATGGATGGATGAATAAGACTCTTTGAACCTCCCCTTGTCCCGGGGGAATGTTATTTCATGCTACTGTATATCAGTATATGTATGGTATGACAATAAAGGCCACTTGACTTGATATGAACATCCATGAACCACCTTTTAAACTGATATCTGACTGACTTCTTTCCCTCATGTTGCTCAGCCCATGACATGGGTAGGGCTAACCCCCCCTACCTGTCCTGCCCTCGATGAACTGGGCCCTCTGGTTTGGGCCGCTGAAGGTGGACACCACGATCTTGTACAGGCGCCCGGGGGTGAGCGAGGTCAGCCGGGACTCTCCCGCAGAGCTGCTCAGTGTGATAGGGGGGAACACCTTCATGTCGTTGTAGAGCAGCTGTACCTCGTAGTGATCCACGTCGCCGGGGGCGGCACCCCATGTGACCTGCAGGTCTTCTGTGCCCCCACTGGAGAGGGCCAGGTCGCGCACCGCCCCGGGGACTGGGGGCAGCCCGACAGTCATGTGATTCTCATGTTACATCATAGTAACATCATCCTGATGTCAACCATTTTATGTCAATAAAGAAAATATTGTGTATAAAAACTGTATTTTGCTCTCTTGTAGCTATTTTATTTCTATTATTATTTATTTGTATTGTTACTTTAATCTTTAACCTTATTATTTTTCTTTGTATCATACATTTCCTTTGAGTACAAAACTTGAACTTGATCTAGCAATAAAAGCCAAAATCATTAGCTGATGAGGCCGTGGCCCTACAAGGCACCCTCACATGGGCTCACTCACATGTCCGGCCATCCGTGGACACACTGGACTCATACTTCCCACTCCAGGTGCTGATGACCACTGTGTAGAGGCGGCCCGGCACCAGCGAGTGGAAAACGCACTCCTTCTGGTGCTTGGGCACCGTCTGGTTCTGCAGGATGATGTTGTTGTGCTTGATGGCCACCTGGTAGAAGTCAAAGTCTCCCACCGCATGCCGCCAGTACACCTTCAAGTACCCGTCCCGAGCCGAGTGGCTGGCCGTGGGGTTCTGCACTTTGGAAGGTTCTGGAATCAAAGGAATAATGATCTGGAGGTGCCATGTGCCAATGTAGGAAAACACGTTTTCACCTATTTTATTCATTATTATTATTTTATTTCACCTATTTATGTGTTCAGACAGCGATTACCTATTTCCTTAAAGAGGCAGTTCACCCAAAAACTGAAAAAGATCATTTCTAGGTCGTTCTACTGGGAGTTGCCTAGTTTTGGAGATATTGTCCATAGAAACGTTGGTCCTCTCTGAAATATAACTGGACTGAATGGCATTGTTTCTGTGGTGGTTAAAGCACCAAAAAATACATATAAATAGAAAAACAGCAATGTCTCTTAGAACTGGGGCAGAGACACTCTTATTGCACTGTGACCCAATTTTCACCATGACAGTTCAGTTGCAACCCTATATCGAAATTAACGCTAAGATCAAGCACACAGTGCACACTACAATTTACACCAATCAATGTCTATTGCACAAATCTGACTGGATGTGCCAGTGAACTTTAAATTAAGCATCTGTGGTTTGGCTTTATGGATTGGTTGAGTTTGCAGACCCAAGACCTGGTTATATAGGTTAATTCAAGGATTGAGGCTGGAAAATCTGATCATTGCTGGCTGGTTTTAAAATGCTTACATTTCCAAGTCTGCATCGTGACCCTTTCAGAACTTGCCATGACCTAAATTCAGGTCATGACCCTAGGGTTGAGAATTGCTGTTGTAGATAACAGGGCTGTGGAGTCAGTAGATAAATGCTCTGACTCCGACTCCGACTCCGACTCCTCAGTTTCTAAATCTTCCGACTCCGACTCCGACTCCCCGACTCCGACTCCTCTGTATGTATATACTAATGTATTTTCTACATCCATTGAAGGAAAGGAAGGCAAGATACATGTCATTTCACCACAGAACTACTGGCTAGGAAGCCAACACTCTACTATAATGCCAGATTAAAGACAAACACAATGAAAACAAGGTTTTCACTAGCGCATAGCGAAGGGGAGACGACGGAGCTGAGAACACACCAGATGATTTTTCAGGCGTTTGACGCGTGATGACTCGTTGAACGGCCGAAAAATTGGCAGTGCATCTGTAAATGTATGGGGGGCTTTAGGCTAGGTTCACAGTTCCCTGTAACAGTGGAACACGACACAATGGAAAGCGGTGCCGCACCTTACCTGTGCATTACATCCCATATAGTGACGCATACAGTCAATGAAAAGCATGCTTCATGGTTACTTGACATGTTCGTTTTGTGGTAACATTATGCACTGCATGCATTGGGCTTTATTCTTACAGCACAGAAGTAGTTCATTATGACTGTTTGTGAATTGGGACATTTCAACTTACTTTTTTAATTCCCATTTAAATTTAGTAGGAGTCGGAGTCAGAGTCGGTTAACTTTTTGCCGACTCCGACTCCGACTCCAGGTACCCAAAATTGTCTCCGACTCCTCGACTCCGACTCCACAGCCCTGGTAGATAATCCACAGACTTTGGAGTGAGCAGATTAATGAAGGAACTAATTTCTTCTACCAAACTCCACACACCAATTGCGTCACAAGCAGCCCGGTGACCTAGATGGATTGATGGCACTAATGTCCCTGTAAAACATATCTTTTTTTTCCAGAAATCCCTGACAGGGACAGTAAACAAGGAATGATTTCAACCCAAACATCTATTCTGTTATTTTGGGTGTTAGAGAATCCACCAATCAGCAGTGCGCTTACTCAGAAAGGGGGAGGGGACTCACGTGTGCGTTCCTGCACCACGGTGTGGTTCTCGTAGGTGCCGCTGCGGGACGTGATGGAAATGTTGTAGAGGCGCCCGGACACCAGAGAGCTGAAGACACACTCGGTGCTAGAGCGGGACATGGCCAGCGCGTGGATGGTCTTCTCACGGTCTTGCAGAGTGACCAGGTAGCTGTCAATGTCACCCTGAGCCGGTCGCCACGACACGCTGAGGAAGTCTGGACGCCCATTGCTGCTGACCGTCACCTCTCTGACGGCGGTAGGCACTGAGGGCAAGGGGCGTGGTTAGCGAGGGCCGTCCACGCCCCAGAGGGCCAATAAGGGCGTGGTTAGGGAGGGCCGCCCACCCCCCAGAGGGCCAATAGGGGCGTGGTTAGCGAGGGCCGTCCACGCCCCAGAGGGCCAATAGGGGCGTGGTTAGCGAGGGCCGTCCACCCCCCAGAGGGCCAATAGGGGCGTGGTTAGGGAGGGCCGCCCACCCCCCCAGAGGGCCAATAGGGGCGTGGTTAGGGAGGGCCGCCTACCCCCCCAGAGGGCCAATAGGGGCGTGGTTAGCGAGGGCCGCCCACCCCCCAGAGGGCCAATAGGGGCGTGGTTAGCGAGGGCCGTCCACGCCCCAGAGGGCCAATAGGGGCGTGGTTAGGGAGGGCCGCCCACCCCCCAGAGCACCAATAGGGGTAAGATTAACATAAAACAAAGGATCGCAAAGCGTCTCCCACACAAAATCACTCCCATTTTTAAATCACTGAATGATGTGGATTGTTTAAGTTGTGCAACGATCTGGCTGGCAAAGCCTTACATTAAAGCAGAAGCAGGACTGCAACACTCATTGGCTGGGCAAACAATGGTGTCTGAACAGGAAACCTCGAACTGGGCTATGATTACATTCCATACAACGCTTCCTGAAAATTCCTAAAATTCCTGCAATGCTGGACATTTGCATTGTTTTCTCTGACCCTTTAGGATCAATGGTGGACAAAGAGGGACGTTATGCTCCCGAGCAGCCTACCTGTCCGGCCCTCAGCAACCGCCTGTTTGGAGGAGAGGCCGCCACTGACTGTGGTCACCACCACCCTGTAGAGGGCGCCAGGCGTGAGGGAGAGGAATTGGCAGGCAGTGGTATTGGCAGGCACGCTCTCATTCTTGATGACCACACTGTCGTGGATGAGCAGCACGCGGTAAGAGTCGACGTCCCCCTCCGCCGCGGCCCAGCTCGTCTGCAGGCTGTCTGTCCGCCCCTGGCCCCTGACAAACAGCTGCGTCACATCTGCAGGGACTGCGCAGACAAGGAAGGAGCGACTGTCAGCACACAGAGGCCTCAGCACCGTAGCGACACGCAAAAGCCTCTCCTCACATTACAATTTACTGCATCTGCACACATTTCTATTCCATATGTAGAACATAGTGTATCGTGCTTATCATGCAAGTTACGTGTTGTTAGTTTATTAAATCAAAGCTGACATCAAACTGAAGAAAGTGCGGAGTTAGAGGCAGCTGTGGTCCAGCATCCCTGGAGCCCTTGGGGTTAAGGGCCCAGCAGTGACAGGGTTACTTTGCAGGCTATAGGCTTTGAACCCACAAATCATCCCCATAAATCCAATTCATCCATTTTCTGTAACCATTTGTCCTATTCAGGGTAGAAGGGGGTCTGGAGCCTATCCTGGATGCTGAGGGCACAAGGCAAGGAACAACCCAAGATGGGGTGCAAACCCATTGCAGTGAACTCACAACCATCTGGATATTTATATTTTACATATATTACTCTTTTATTCAAAGTGACTTAAAGTTGACAAGAGGGTTACAATTTATTTGTGCTCCCTGGAACCTGAACCCACAACATTGGCGCTGTTAGCTTGTTGAGTTAGAGGGGCATATGGTTATGGGGACAGATCCCTAACCAGCCAGGTTTCTTAACGCTCATAGGTTTTCCTGCTTGTAAAATTAATAAAAGAATAATCTTTACAAGTGAAAGTGCCCTTAAACATCCTTCTTAGAGTCTGGAGCACCAGGAGAAAGTGGACATTAATGCTGACTAAACTCACGTGTCCTCCCCACCACAGAGGCGGAGCTGCTGAGGTCGCCGCTGATGGTGGTCACCTGGATGGTGTACGGGCGGCCAGGTGTGAGCACGTTGAAGGTGCACTCCCGCATGTCGCGCATCAGTCGTCGCTCGGCAATGGCAATGCCCGCCTGTATCAGCACCACTGTGTAGCTGTCCCAGTCCGCCAGCGGGTGGAACCAGAGGGCGCTCAGTGAGGTCTCATCTGTGTGCCGAATGTGCAGCTGACGCACGGGTCCTGGAGCTGCGGGGTGGGCGAGGTTTAGAGTCCAGTCACACGTGATACAACACACTCCACTCTGATCATGTTAGTACTACAGCCTACAGGAGGCAGCGAAGGGAAAAAGTGATGACCAGGTACTCCGGGAGAGAGGATAAGTGGACAGGCAATGATCAGGTGCTTCGGGACAGAGGAAGAGCGAACAGGTGATGATCAGGTGTTCTGTGAGAGAGGAAATGTGGACAGGTGATCATGTGTTCCCTAGGACAGAGGAAAAGTGAACGGGTGATGATCAGGTGCTCCTCGGGACAGAGGAAAAGCAGACAGGTGATGATCACGTGCTCCTCGGGATAGAGGAAAAGCAGACAGGCGATGATCACGTGCTCCTCGGGATAGAGGAAAAGCAGACAGGCGATGATCAGGTGCTCCTCGGGACAGAGGAAAAGCAGACAGGCGATGATCAGGTGCCTCGTTTACCTAATCTCCCCTGGCAGGCGGCAGAGGTCTCCAGCATCCCGCTCCGCACAGTCACTGTGGCCCTGTAGAGGCGCCCAGGGACCAGCTCCAGGCCAGCGAAGGTGTGCTCCACTGTGTCCCGGACCACCGTCACGTTCACCGAGGTCAGTGACTTGCCCAGCAGCTGGATACTGTATCCCTCCCAGTCTCCACTGGGGGGAGCCCATGTTATCTTTAGCGCTCCCTGCTGGCTGAGACCCACCATTTCCAGCTGAGTCACCGTACCTGGAACTGAGGGAGAGGGAGGGGTTAGGCAGCAAAGCACAAAGGCTCACGCTACCTTTAATCAGTAATGTGTTATATTTTCAAAGCATTTTCAAAAACAATGAAATCTAATTAAACCATAGACAGTTAATGATTTGGCTACATATTAATGTTGCTTTTACAGAAACAATACAATTACACTGTAACATTGCAGTGTAATATCGAAGTAGAGAACCAAAATTGCGCAAGACCATTTTTCCTGGTCTTGACAATTACGTTACGTGACGTTAGCTAGCTGGATACAACCAGGGGCATCCCGGGGAGCTCTCTACCTGTCCTGCCCGCAGCCTGGCTCTCAGTGGACAGCTCTCCACTCCTGGTGCTGACCGACACCTGGTAGGCACGGCCTGGGGTCAAGCCGCTGAAGACGGCACTGGAGGTATCAGGGGTCAGCATGCTGTCCTGGTGGCGTGAGCCCAGCGCAGTCAGGGACACCAGGTAGGAGTCGACATCGCCGGAAGCCAGGCTCCACACTGCCACCAAGCTGTCCCGGCTGCCATTGTTCAACAGCCTCAAGTCGCTTACTGCGGCGGGAGCTGGTGGGGTTAGGAAGCAACGATGGGGATGTTGTTGTGACAACCATGGAGCAGCATTCACCTGTATCTCTCCGATAAGCGAAGGGAAACCGCGGGGTCTCATGGCAACCAACGAAAACAGAGAGAGGGACTGTACATCTGGTGGGTGTGGGGGCATCACAGAACAGCCTGAAAAAGCCGATGACAGACAGACGGTGCCAGAGACCATAACACAGACTGGAAAGGAAAAACGCAAAGGCGGCTCGACCCAGACTGACGGAAAAAAAAAACGGCTAATTTCCCACCCAGCTGTGTGACACACGGCTTCTGCTCCCCCCCCCCATTCCCCACCTGGCCCTTTAACTCACAACCACATGAAAGTGGAGCCCAAACAAAGGCGTTCTAGACCGGAAACCAGAGGGCCTCGACGGGGGGAGCCATAGCATAGCGGGATACCCTGACCCGAAGCTCTAGACCTTGGCCCGAGGAAGGGCGACAGCGCTGGGGGGGCAAGCACTGGCTGGAAATATCCTGGAAACAATGATGGGCCATGGAGGTGTGGCTCCGTGCAAAGCCACGCCCACTCCACTGGGGTGTGGAGGTGTGGCTCTGTGCAAAGCCACGCCCACTCAGCCGGGGCGTGGAGGTGTGGCTCAGTGCAAAGCCACGCCCGCTCCACTGGGGTGTGGAGGTGTGGCTCTGTGCAAAGCCACGCCCACTCAGCCGGACATGGAGGTGTGGCTCCGTGCAAAGCCACGCCCATTCAGCCAGGGTGTGGAGGTGTGGCTCCATGCAAAGCCACGCCCACTCAGCCACCTGAGCCCCCCTATAGGTGGACTGGCTGCCTTTAAGGTGACGCATTCGGTATTTACTGGACAATGTCTGCCATTCCCTGCAGGTCGTCTTGGCCAAACAGAGGAGCAGTTTCAGTGACAGACTGAGATAGTCACGCTGCTCCAAGGTCGTTCCTACCTACGGCTATTAGAGCATAAAACGAGCACAAAACGAATGGGAATAAAGCCAGTTAAGAGGAGACATGGCAGCTCATTACCCGTCCGAGCCTCTCTGGAGACGCTGCTCTGCTGCCCTCTGGACTCCGTTGTCACAGTGACGTTGTACAGCCGTCCCGGGACCAGGCCGCTCACAGTGTGGGATGTGACGCTTTTCTCCAGGCTCACATTCCCAACCAAGCTGCCATGGTGGGTCACCAGCAGCTGGAAAGTTTCTATCCTCCCTGGGCCTGGCTGCCAGGAAATGCCCAGGCTTTCGGGGGACCCAGAGAACTTCAGGCCGGTGGCGGGCATGGGGGCTGAGCAGGAGAGATGGGCCAAATGTGAGTAGGGCTACATCATAAAGCGTACAGCCGCTTCAGGTTCTAGATGCTTCTGTGTAGGGATTGCAAAAAGAATATTTACAGGCCTCCAAGTTTCTAATAACCAGTGTTAATAACAGTTAGATCAGTTAGGCTTGTGTTTGAGCCCCAAACGAGGGCCCCGCTGTTGATGGTGTGGAGCTAATTAACAGCTGCTTCGGGGGGGTGTATACCTGTGGTCACGGTAGTCCTCACCACAGAGGAGGTCTTGTTCCCAGCAGTAGCCCTGAGGTGGACACTGTAGCGGGTGCCGGGGGTGAGGCCGGTGAAGCCCAAGCGGGGGGCCGCCGTGCTGGAGACACGGGTGCTCTTACTGGTACCCGTTTGGGTATCCTGCAGGGTGACCTCATACCAGTCCACCTGTCCTCGTGACCGCGGCCAGGACACGTGGAGAGTCGTGCTGCGGCTCTGCTCTGGCGTGACGTCCAGCCGGCTCGGCTCCTGCGGGTCTGACGGGAGAAAAGATGCCGCAGATTGAGATGGCTGCTCACATCAGACCCCAGTGCCGCCCGTCGACAGTATATCTCTCTCGTTTACTTCGCTTAGCAGATGCTCCGGGTGACAGTGTGGCTCAGTGGGTTAAAACTCTGTGCCTGTGAGTGGAAAGTTGCCGGTTCGAGCCCGGCATTGGCACCTCTGTGGGTCCTTCAGCAAGGCCCTTAACCTTTAGCTCCCTGGGTGCAGTTGCAGGTGGCTGCCCTTCGCGGCCAGCGTACCCTCACCTACAGAGAGCATGTTGGCAGGGGCAAAAAGAGAATTTTCCCTTGGGGATCAATAAAGTATCGATTATAATTATCCAGAGCAACAGATGTTTTTGAGTAGGGTGAGAGCAGAGATGGGGGTTAAGGGTGTTGCTTTAGTGCTCAACAGTGACACCAATCTGCCAACCGTGGGATTCAAAATAACAACCTTCTGATTACAGAAACAACAGGCCAACCCATTAAGCCACACACTTAAGTGCTGACAGCACAGGATAGTCCAGATAACCAAACCAGTTGTATGTTGTGTCTACAAGCGGGGAGAAGTGAAGGATATGGGGGGGGTACCTTCGAATATGGTATAAAAACCCTTGAAGATCAGACTCAGTATGAGGCAGCGTCCATGACCCCGTCGCCCCATAGCCTTGAACCTCCCTTGACGGATTTCACAGTGACACGGCCCAGCCACCAGGAGGCGCTTTGGCAGGGAGGAGGGATCAGACGGCGCCCCTACTTTGACACTACACCGCCAGGACAAGCGGATGTACCTGAGTGCCGATATGTTACAGCTTACTGAAGCCTCCAGCTTGTATAGTTACGGTGATATTATGAAATGAGTAAAGCATGAAAATACAAATCAACCAAAACTTAGACAATAACAGTTATGGGCGGTTTAAGCTAAACTCTGCACGTATTGAGGGCCGGGGCCCGGAGCCAATCGGAGGCAGGGGGTCCGTGTGCTTCGAAGGTAAAGTTCACCGAGGTTCTTTATCTAATCTGGCCCGCAAAACAAAACAGGGAGGCCGTCTGTATCCGGTAGGACAAAGGAACAATGAGGCCGGACGCGGGCCACTCCGGGCACACACACCAAAAAAGCACACACTTAAGATTACCCCGCAGCATTGTTGCCCATTCCTGCTCTGGCCCCCAGCCAGCAGCGACCTTCAGCTTAACATGCCCCCCCCCCCCCACTCCTATCTGCGATCCGTCCCACACGAAACTTGCTCTGGCTGTGGTACCAACAGTGCCTTTTGGACCGCAGAGACAGGTGAGGACCGAAACCGCTCCCTCCGTGCGGGAGGGCTTATTGCCGACAGGACAACGGCATGCAGGATGTAGGAAGGCAAGCCACGAGCAGGCAATACGGCGTCCATCACACTCGTATATATATCTCGGCTACCCATGAAGTTGACCCCCCCGGACATTTATGGCAGTCCCACGACTCGCCTCTCTGTTTTCCACCATATTTCCAGTCTGTTGCCAAGACAACCTCATGGCCTCTGCTCCCGGTCAGGGCTGGGGTGTCCTGCAGACACTGCGCTAATATCTGACTGCCAGCTTTACAGTGTATCCAGTGTCATTTTACAAACATCAATTTTATAAGCAGCTTCCAGTGTGGAACAACAATTTATAAAAATGCTTAAACCGAATGCATTTGTCAATTTCAACAGTAAATTTTAATAAAGTATTAAGTATAATATTATGCTCCCATTACCTTTGAAAAAAGGGAGCGAAAATTTAAAATCTATGTAATTTGATTAGATTTTATGTGTATGTGCAAGACAGTATAGTTCCGTTAGTTTGGTACATTTTTGAAGGCCAGCCACAGATCTGGGTAAGCCAAATTTTAAGTATTGTAAAAGTTTAATAGACTTACTGCAGTCCTATAGTCATCTTAATCAGCCGTAGCCTGACCACAAACAGACTGCAGGGTACCTGTTTGCAGGGACACGTCCCGCCGCTCCCCGTCAGTCCGGGACACGATCCTCAGGCGGTACAGGGTCCCCGGCTCCAGCTCCGTAATCTCACACTCGTACGCGGTGCCTTGTCCTCCGCCCCGGACGCAGTCCTTTATTTCGGAGCCGCTGTCCAGGGAAACCACCGCAAAAGCGCAGCCCTGTCCGGCGCTGCTCCATCGCAGCCGGAGCGACGCGCTGCCCGTGTTGGTCTCGGTCAGGGTCGCCGCGCATCCCGCAGCCTCCGCGGCGCTCCGCTGGAATAAGCAGCAAAGGGCGCTCAGGCCAGACCGACAGCACTGACGAGCGGCGCGGCGCTCCTCGCAAACTCACCTGGAGAAACCTCGATGCTACAAGCAGTACTAAACAGACCGCCTTAATTCTCAGCATTGCGATTGTATTAAACAATTCCTCTATATAAGCACAGCGAATCAAATGCTTATTCCATGGGAAAAAGATACAAATATGGAAAAAAATCATTCAAGTAAAAAAAGAGAATAAAACACATTTTCCGACCCTGCTTTTTCTGTTTGTCTTTTCAGGACGTCTAAGTCGCGCAGAAAGCGCTTCTCAGCGTCCATCGCCGTGTCTCTGTGCTTGCCACGCTCCCCTTACATCCCGGGCCGATCGAACACCCCCTATCCTCACAAACAGTCAGCAGACCCCGGCAACAGGTCCATCCAGACTGCGGCTCTACACCTGCGACCCAGCGACATAACTCATTTGTACGAAAAATGCCATCTCCATTATCCGGGTTAAAATATGTTCCAAGATCAGATTTCTTCACTTCCTTGAATAGAAACGTTCTTTTTTCTTTTGAGAAGAATGACAGATTTAGTAACCAGCATCTAGACTCCATCAGTTTTCAGTAGATCAAATGTTCCTTTTACAGAGTGTCTTTCTTTTGGGGGTGTAGCTTCAGACTTTCACTGGTGACCGGGACCCGCACTCCTCCCTCCTTTCCTTCCCGTCTGTGCCCTCCCTGGAGAAGCGGGCTTGCTTTCTCCGCAGATCACTGTAGTCTCTGCCCGGGGACCATTGCATTTGAGCTGCCTCCAAAGATCAATCACCTTTCGTGAAACGAACGCGACAAATCATAATAATAAATCTCACTCCAAACAATACTAAAACAAAGGAAACGTGCACGCAGATTGAGGTTTAACAACTCCCACGCACGAGCCCGCTGGCTGTAGTTTAAAGAGACATTGTCCTGCTTAAAAGAATTCAACTGATTCTGACCTGAAACGCCATTTAAACCCTTGACATACTGCTTAACATTGAAAATCAGGGGGATGGCCGTATTTGGAATCTGGTGCAAAAAATGTATTCATATGAGATTTTAACTGAAATCGTGAACTATATGGTCCTACGTAGATTTGAACACTTTACATCGTTCAACTATATTATGATATATATACGTGAATACAATTACATATACATGTATAGCAGAACTGCAACTGAAATATACAACTGTAGCATCAACCATTTAATTTAATATACAGATTTTACATTGCCTTCAATGTAGTATATTAAGAAGATACATGCAAAAATGCAGAAATATTTCGATACTGAAGGATCACCTTTGTAATTGCAAGACCCTATTACAGCGCCACCTACTGTGTGATGAGCACACCTGTCTACAGCTAATGAAATCATTCATTCACTGGGAGCATTTCAGTCTGCTGGATGAGAGCAACGCAGACCTTCCAAGTATCGCACATTTCATGGGAGTCTAATGCATTTCATGGTAGTCTTGCTCAATTCATGGCAGTCTCAAGCATTTGGGATGATTCTCCTGCACTGTCGCATTGCCATTGTTGTCTCACACATGCATGTTTAAGTTTCAACCTAAAAAAATTAAGTTTTGCCATTTTTGTGCATTTTTCCATCATGGCTACATGGCACAGTTAGAGTCATCCTTTGGTTAAACTTAAAAAAATCGGCTGTAAGGCATCAGCCACAAGCCTCTCCAAAGCTATGGGAATCACAGAGCAACCCAGACGACGGACGGACACTACAGCATAGGCTCCCGACTCCTATACCCCCGTCTCAGACTTAATTATTGACAATGATCAAAGCCCCAGAGAGAAATAATACCTGCAGGCAGTGCTGGTCGGGGTCCATGCGGCACACCCCCGCCACTGCGTCTGCAGTGGAGCTTGCAGGGAGGGGTGGCACCGCTTGTTTGCTAAGTCGTCGCCCGCTCATGGCAGCCTGTGTCACATAAGGGCCCCTGCCAGCAGCAGACTTCACAGGGAAGCCGTTTTCTGGTAATGAAGCTGTTTAACGTGACTCTTCCAATGGAGTATATAGGCAGTTCCCAAGAACACCCGACTCACAGGTGATGCCTACTTACGAACGGGCCGCCATAAAACACATTGTATTCATAATCTTACTTAAATACAATGGATAGGGGAAAACATTGTATGGCTTCAGCTGTCCGCCGGCTCAAGGTACAGTGTATGTAGTTATTTTTATTAATACTGTATTTATAATACTTATTGTGTATTGTATTATTTTTGCCTACAAATTTGACTTGAAGACAGACTTAGGGGGCGGATCTGGTCAGTAACCCCGGAACTGCCTGAATCTGCATGGGCACACTAAGCTCTCTCACCTCTTGGGTGGCGGTGGTTGTAGGAGCTGCTGTAGTCAGCACTGCAGCTGCAGTGGCCACAAGAGTCGCAGTACGAGCTGCAGCAGGAGCTGCAGTAATGTTCTGGGATGCAGCGCCGGTGGAGCCCGATGTGGGAGCCGGTGTCTGGGGGAAGCGTGATGTGTTGGTGGTAGAACCCGCTGTCATAGACTCGGTGGCACTGGGACCGAGCCCGGTGATGCTGGTCCTTCTGGTCCGGCTCCGGAAGTCATTGGCCTGCATCGCTGCAGTGCTCTGCCTTCTGCTTGGGGATCCTCTGGCCCCAGAGGTCCGGGGCCGGACCAGCAGGCCTGTCGTCACGGCAGTGGGTGGGTGAGCAGTGATGGGGCTGGATCGGCTGGGTGGATGCAAAGCTGTGGTTGATGCTGTGGAGGGATCTAGACAAAGAGAAGAACAAAGCCAATCAGATCTTGAATCAGATCTTTGAAACTTGTCAAATTACTGGTTTCAACTAACTCAGTGAAACCGCAGCCAATAACCCCCCCCCCCCCCAAACCCTGAGAGCGACATGCTGCGAGCATGGGCCAGCAGAGCTCTTGTGCGGATGTGCATGTTATTCGGATGACAGCTGACCCCATCCATGTGTCCCCTGAAAGTCACCCTGTCACCCTGCATCCTCCAAACCACAAGCATCCTGTAAATGCCAAGGACTGTTGTTTCTCTGGGGGGGGGTGTAATGAAAAGAGGAATATTCCTGATAAATTAATAAGCAAAAGAGCGCTATAATACCTGCAAATCACCTTAATTACTATGGTTATTCATTATTATAGTTGTTCAATAAATAGGCAGCTATTCCTTCGAATATCTGATGTTTCAGAATTATTATTATTTTTTTTTTTTCGGGATGACGTTAAAATGCTACCAGAAACACAGGAGGATCAGGATGAAGATCATTTTCACGCGGGCTTTGGGACTTCGGGAGTTGGGGCACAGGGATGGACTCCGGGCACGCGAGGCCGGGTCCACGGCCAGCTGGCTCTAGCCACAACCAAGGAGGTTTCCGCAATGTCACTGGCGTGAAAAGTGACATCCTCATCCGGGCTGACGCACAGCCGGGACACTGGCAGCCCGGTACAGCTCGTCCGCATAGTCAGGACTGGTACAATCATTTCCTGCTTATTTTGCCGAACAGCATAAGTAAAACTTTAAACATCTACAAATTTAAAGACACATCAATCAGCAATCCAAAACCAAATATTTTAGGTAAATGTGCTCCGAAAAAGTCCGTAATGAAATTACTGAGCACTTAAAAATCAACGCAGGAGACTGCAGCCTTCACTTCGGCGCCCACTCACCCTGCACGCACAGAGGCATCCTAACCATCTTCCCTCGCGAGTCCTTTTCATACTTAGCCCAGGCTGAATCCTTTGGGTAACTCCTGAGCACCACTCGCTGGCCTTGTTTCTTCAGGTACAGTGGCCAGTCCGCCAATCCGAAAGTGCCCCCCCCATCGTGACACCTCCAGGCGGGCGCGCTCACGCAGGCAACTGTGCCCGCGAGGCGCGTGTGTCGCGGCATGGCACTGGACGCGTCCGCCCACATGCACTGGGACGAAAGGACGTGAACGAGTTTCTTGTCCCCCGTCCAGCGCCACTGTTGGTCGGGGTTGCTGGCGTTGCATTTCCCGACGAAGACCGCTGTGTTTTTCGTATACAGACATAGTTCCTTGGCCATGTGAGCAATAAGGAATCCATCTAAAAAGTCAAAAAAAACAACTAACCTAAATTCAGGTTACTGACATCATAAAATCAAGGCGTATTAATATTTAAAATCCTGGACACCGTAAATGTATCGCCCGATGCTTTAGGCCTAAGTGTTAGTTTGCAGTCAAAACTAGCAAGATACAAGACGAGCAGTAGGTAGGCTACAGACGCCGAAATGAGGTAAATACACTTTTAGATTTAGAACCGTGTGTTATTAGTTTATGCTTATTACAAGTGTCATGAGAGTGTTTCAGCTCGAGCTTTAAAAAATATACATTTTAATTGTTTTAAAGCTGCAACATTTTTAATTTCGCATTTACAAATATTTATTGTACTGAAGTTGTAGACCTTGGTGTTTACAACCGGTGTTCTACACGTCAGGAGATTTTTGCTACAGAATTGACCGTACAACGTAAAGATTAAGGCAAAGGTCCTGTTTTCACTTGAATATCCATATTTAACATAAAGCCCAAAGTTTGAAAGCCGTTACCCTTAATAATAAATAAGCCGCCGTTTGTCACTCACCTGTTGCTGTAAAACTCAGAAAAATGAAAATCACCGTCGGTAAAGTGTCCATTTTAGCGGTAGGTTTGCGCGTCCGCTGGATGCGGGCGAGTGGAGCGCAAAGGAAGCGCCAGTGACGGGAGCTTCCTTCTCCTCTATTGTTTTTGGCGGATCATGGACCGGATCATGGACCACTTGGTGCGACTCTTTAAAATGAAATGCCCAAGTACACGGCAGATGTTCATCAGGCCACGCAGCTGTGATCTCAGCAGCCAGTGCCGCATTCTCAGCATGCGCAGGGCGCGATCAGCCGGCCCATCTCCCCGCTTTCCACGCGGCTTACAGAAAGACATCATTTGCAAGCTGCTGACTACCAAAGTCTCAGCTTCATAAACTGTATTTAACGCACGAAGACGTAAACCGTGGGAGAGACGGCTAACGCGCAGAAAGCCGCATTCAGCCTTTAAGGTCGTCACGGGTCTACATCACGAATGCAAATTTGCCTTTTTAAGTTTTAATAACATAAGATAAAGTCATTATTTATCAAAACAAGCTTTCCATGTCCGAATTCAAAATAAAACTGTTTTATGGAGTTTAGAACCAACAGAAATGAACAGTACGGTATATTACAAAAATATTTGCATTATTAAATCAGGAGATGTCATCTCACACTATGACCTTCATTGTGAAACATACTACTAATACTGTTAGGCCTAGACAAATACTGTAGGTTTCAACTATATATTATATAAAAGTTTTTGAAGAACATACAGAATTTTCATTTATCGTGGATAATGTCATAACGAATACCTGCTGCAAAACTTTACAGCCATAATGGACCAATGTGAAAAACCTAATAAGTAAAGAATGTACACTGACATTTAGCAGGGCTCCGACCGGCGCTGACTCTTAGCAGGCACCCGGCCGGCCCTGACTCATGGCAGGCCCCCAACCAGCCCTGACTCTTAGCAGGCCCCCAACCGGCCCTGACTCATGGCAGGCCCCCAACCGGCCCTGACTCTTAGCAGGGCCTCGATTGACCCTGACACTTAGCAGCCACATCACTTCCTTGCAGATGTCTACCATTTTTTGCAGCTCAGTTGCTGTCTCATGCCTCACAACTACACCGCTTTACTGTAGATACATCAAGAGTACCAACAACATTGATGGAAGCCGTGCCTTTCATTACATAAACTTCATAACTTCATGCCTTTCATTACCATAAACTTCATAACTCTTCGGTACGCCCCGTCTGCTCCCAGCATCCCCACATACTGCCCACATCCTCGGCCCGTCTGCTCCCAGCATCCCCGCTCCCTGCCCACATCCTCGGCCCGTCTGCTCCCGTCATCCCCGCTCCCTGCCCAAATCCTCGGCCCGTCTGCTCCCAGCATCCCCGCTCCCTGCCCACATCCTCGGCCCGTCTGCTCCCGTCATCCCCGCTCCCTGCCCACATCCTCGGCCCGTCTGCTCCCGTCATCCCCGCTCCCTGCCCACATCCTCGGCCCGTCTGCTCCCGTCTTCCCAGCTCCCTGCCCATATCCTCGGCCCGTCCGAACCCGTCATCCCCGCTCCCTGCCCACATCCTCGGCCCGTCTGCTCCCAGCATCCCCGCTCCCTGCCCACATCCTCGGCCCGTCTGCTCCCAGCATCCCCTCGTACTGCTCACATCCTCGGCCCGTCTGCACTCAGAATTCCTGCACCCTGCCCACATTATCAGCCCGGGTGGCTCGTCCTGCAGCTGACCCCGAGACTCTCAGGTTCATGAAGCGTGACAACAGTGGTCTATATCCAGAAAGCTGGTCTACTGCAGTTAAATACAGATTTTAAAGTCCAGTTTAATGATTGTGAGAATTACCAAGGCCTGGGAAGAGCAAAAGCTGAGGCACGTTGGACATTCATCCTTGTTTACTTGATGTTGGATGGTTACTGTTACATCTCTGCTTATATCCACATTTGGCCCATCCCTAGTGTGGGTAATGACATGAATGTGCTTCTATCTAAGTGCAGGTTGGAGTTCATACTCAGAAGCATCTGATGAGACACAGCGTCAGACCATACCCCCCCTGCACCACTTTGTCCTCCGCCTATTGTGAGCTATTTTTAGGTCTTTGGGCCACCTTTCCCACTCATCACATGGTTAGACCTCCCCAGCCCACTGGGTACCTCGTCAGCCATCTTTTCTTGTGTATCTGTAAGTTTAGTATCCATGGCGACAGCCCTGGTAAGGGCAGCATTGACGAATTGCTATTGTCCTTCTTTACTTTTGTGCTTGTGCCAAAACACACAAGCTCGGTGAGTCGGCCATGGGGGGGGGGGGTCAGAAATGCCGCTGCAGGCTGCTTCCTCGGGGTGGGTCCATGTGCAACCATCCCCCTGGTCAGAGTGGCTCCCCGTGGGCTGTACACTAGTTTGAAAAACTACTTCCTGGCTGTAAGGCCCTGATTCCAGACAAAGGTGACTGTAGACATGCTTCCCATGTGATTATGTCATTTCCAAGTGTTTCTGAGCTGCCATTTTGTCAGGGGGCATCGGGAAGTCAGTGACGGACATGTTCATCCTTAGCGTCTGTGCATTCTGAGCAGCGTTATCACATGCAGCCTGTTCCCATCATACTCCCAGAGCCTGAGGACCAAAAGCCACAAGCAGTGTGTTCATTCTATCCACCATTTTATTAACTCTATCCTCACCCCCATTGTATCTCTGCATCATGTGGTTAGGTTCACCAGTCTCACAGCTCCTGGGTTGGGGGTTCAAATCCCACCTCTGGTCTCTGTCTTGGAAGGTTGCACGTATTCTGGTTCCCTTCTAAGTTATGGAGTGAACCTCCGGGACCCTGCTGAGGAGAAATAGCTGGAAGACAAGATGGCTTATGTACTGTTGGAATCAGTGCATTTTAATAAGTTGCAGGGTTTCATCAAGGCTGACCTCTTTGGTAACCTAAACATGGCAGATCGGTCTGTAAGAATGTCAGGTGAGTTCAGCTTTAGGCCAACAGCTACAAACAACAGAGTACCACTGAAAGGCTGTTTACAGGATGTGAGTGATGACACCACTAATTGTTACAACTTAAATAAAAGGGACTTGTTTGTATTTTGAGGAAGTTAAAGTCTGTGGTATGTCTGTCACCATAGTTACATAGTTACACCATTTTCCACGCATATTGTTTACGTTAAAAAGGGTACAGAAATTTTCCAAACCTGGAAATCTGCAATAATCTGTTGTTTGATAAATATTTGTACTTGATATTAATTGTGATTTTAACTAAACAGAATAAAGGATAAATCCAAATAAATGACATATCTTCCACTAACAGAGTATCACTGTAAGCATTCTTGGTGCTCTGGCCACCTGAATCTGGATCCACATGGAACCTTGCCTGGCAAACCCAACCCGGGCTGCTGCTGAGGGACAGGAGCTTTGTGGCGCTGAAACGCCCCCCCCCCCCATGCCGCATGGGTGGTGTCCCGCTGGTATTTTTAACTCCTCTATCAGCTGCCCTTCAGCGGGTTCATGGTCAGGAAGCTACGCCCTCTGCAGGAAAACATGGCACATGACCCCAATCAGCGGGGCCATCATGCCCCCCCACCTCTGTGATATTCCAAGAGGGAGGAGAAATATAAAAATGGGGATGGGGTAGAAAGTCAGGGACAGCAAGAGTGCCTGCAGCGGGGTGCTGTTCACCCCAGCGAACCCACACTAGCCACACCCTCTAATTCACAGACCTGATGTGGCTGTATTTCCACCAGTATGCTTCATACTGTTGTGCTGGAACCAGTACTATTAGGGGCAGGCTGTTTCCCAGGTAACAGAGAACATTCTCAAAACTTCATTTAAAGGTATTCTCAAAATTGGCAGAGAGCGTTCTTACTGTAACATTAGTGGAACGTTATTTCCACATTGTACATTTTAACAAAGGTCAGTAGGTTTCTCAATATTAGCATTAAAGATATTACTTTATTCAAGTGCTATAGTGTGTACTGTAAACGCACCATCCGGCCTTGAACCCGTGACCTTAGTGGCATAACGTGACAGTGTTCCGCGCTGCTGTACCATGCCCTTCCTAGAACATCCTGGAACAAAAAAATATCAGAAGGGCTACAGGGTTCTCCTTGCACTAGGCAGACCACGCATTGCGGTGACATGTACCAGGGTTCTACACACAGCCTACAAGCACGCCAGGGCCCTACACACAGCCTACAAGCACGTCATGGCCCTACACACAGCCTACAAGCACGCCAGGGCCCTACACACAGCCTACAAGCACGCCAGGGCCCTACACACAGCCTACAAGCACGCCAGGGCCCTACACA